GACAGCAAAAAGGTGAGTTTGACAGCAATCTATCAAGGGGAAACATCACCGGAGTATCCCGGAAGGAAGCGCCATACACACATGCATCAAGGATAGCAAAAAGGTGAGTTTGACAGCAATCTATCAAGGGGAAACATCACCGAAGTATCTCGGAAGGAAGCGCCACACACACATGCATCAAGGACAGCAAAAAGGTGAGCTTGACAACAATTTATCAAGGGAAAACATCACCGAAGTATTCCGGAAGGAAGCGCCAGACACACATGCATCAAGGACAGCAAAAAGGTGAGTTTGGAAGCGAATTATCAAGGGGAAACATCAATAAAGTATCCCGGAAGGAAGCGCCATACACACATGCATCAAGGACAACAAAAAGGTGAGTTTGACAGCAATCTATCAAGAGGAAACATCACCGAAGTATCCCAAGATGAAGCGTTTCACACCCAAGCACCCAAATCAGCAAATTGACAAGTTTGATGACATCTACACTAGGGGAATGATCACCGACGTATCCCAAGATGAAGTGCATCACACCCAAGCACCCAAATCAGCAAATTGACAAGTTCGATGACATCTACACTAGGGGAATGATCATCGAAGTATTCGAAGATGAAGCGCAACACACCTAAGCACCCAAATCAGCAAAATAACAAGTTTGATGACATCTACACTAGGGGAATGATCACCGAAGTATCCCAAGATGAAGCGCAWCACACATAGGCATCCAAATCAGCAAAATGACAAGATTGATGACATCTACACTAGGGGAATGATCACCGAAGTATCCCAACATGAAGCGCATCACACCCAAGCACCCAAATCAACAAATTGACAAGTTCGATGACATCTACACTAGGGGAATGATCACCGAAGTTTCCCAAGATGAAGCGAAACACACATAGGCATCCAAATCAACAAATTGACAAGTTTGAGAGTATCTACACTAGGGGAATGATCACCGAAGTATGCCAAAATGAATCGCAACTTACCCAAGCATCCAAATCAGTGAAAACACAAGATTTGCAGCACCTTCACTAGGGGAAAGATCACCGAAGTATCCCAAGATGAATCGCAACTTACCCAAGCATCCAAATCAGTGAAAACACAAGATTTGAAGCATCTACACTAGGGGGAAGATAACCGAAGTATCCCAAGATGAAGAGCAACACACCCAACCACTCAAATCAGTAAAAACACAGGATTTGAAGCATCTACACTAGGGGAAAGATCACCGAAGTATCCCAAGATGAATCGCAACTTACCCAAGCATCNAAATCAGTAAAAACACAGGATTTGAAGCATCTACACTAGGGGAAAGATCACCGAAGTATCCCAAGATGAATCGCAACTTACCCAAGCATCCAAATTAGTGAAGACACAAGATTTGAAGCATCTACACTAGGGGAAAGATCACCGAAGTATCCCAAGATGAATCGCAACACGCCCAACCATCAAGATCAACAAAAATCGCAGTATTGGCAAGAGGAGGAAGATGAAGAAGGAGGAGGAGAAGAAGGAGGAGGAAGGAAACGAAAAGAAAAAAGAAGAGAAAGGAGAGGAGGAAGAAGAAGAAGGGGGAGGGAAAGAAGAAGAAGAAGAGGAAAACGAAGAAGAAGAGGAAGGAGAAGAAGAAGAAGAGAAGAGAAGAAGAAGAAGAACAAGAAGGAGGAGGAGGAGGAGGTCTTCCTCCTCTTTCACTCACCTCTTGCTGGTCTCTAGGCAGTGGGGTCCCAGGCCTGGTTCTAGCTCCTTGAGTAGGGCTTCCCCTCCTCCCAAGCTCTCTCCTCCTTCTCCCACTCCTCCTCTCAAGTTATGGCAGGCTCCTACCTCTAAGGCTATGGAGTCCTTCCCTCTAGAAGGGCTAAGGGGACCCCTTTTAGCCTCTCCTCCTACCTCACAGCCTGAGGGCTATGACGGACCACTTTCCTTGCTTCTTCCTAGCTTCTAGGCCTTCTCCCTTAGTCCCATCACCATAGCCAGGTTCCAGGCTAGCTCCGACTCTCACTTCCTTGCTCTATTCCACTAGCACTCACTCACGGACTCATTTTGGCAGCATGGGCTCCTCTCATGTTCAAGTGGGAGTGGCGGCCTGCACCTCCAGCTTATGTAGGCTGAAATTGGTGCACCGCCCAACCCCTAGGCCTCCCCAAGTGCCTCTAGGTGGAGCGAGGTACCCCCAAGGCCAAATTTTCGGTTTTGGCCTATTTGGTGGTACCTGGGCCTCATTTTGGCCAGGTACATGCAGTCCGAGAGGCTAGTACCCTCTCGTACTACCCCTTGGCCTACCCCGGCCTCCTTTTACTTCAAAAAGAGCTGCCTTTTGGGGTACCACTTTCCAAAATGCAGCCTTTACTGAAAATTGAGGGCCTAGAGGCCCTTTTCTTGTCTTTTTCCAGGTCTAGGCCTCTTTTGGGTAGGCCGTTGCATTTTCCAAGTGGCGGCTTCAATCTCAGCCTTGGATTTGGCTGAGATCCATGGTTCTCATCATTCCGAGTCACTCCCAAGCTCCCCTTGCCCCAAATTTGAGCCTTTACTTCAATTTTCCATTCTCTTGGTGTATCTGGCCCAATCCTTGGACCAAATACGCAGTTTTGTCTTGTTCCTCTCTTTGTTTTCCCTCCATTTTGCTACCAACTCATTCCGGAGCTAGCCATTTTGTGTCAGCCCACAAAAAACGGCTAGATCTCCTCAACCGCAAGATCAGATTTCAGATCTAAGGCCCAAAAATGAGCCGGCCAACTCACATCAACATTTTTCTTTAATTTTGTTGCTTAAATTCAGATATTGCAGAGATAATGCCCCAAGGATCTTATCTCTGCAATCCGGACTGCCCTCCTAGGATCTAGGAGGGATGAGGTCATCATTGAGACCTGCCAGTCCCTACCGCTGCAGTCCCAATGTTACATCTTCGACGCCACACGGGTCCTACCGGACCCGACTGAGGGCTAGAGGAACACATCAGGGCCTAAAGGCCCGACCTTGGGGGTACTACAGGCCATAAAGGCCTCACCTTGGACCAGACCCGACGGGCAGGCCCAAACGACATTACCGTTTGGGCCTGGCGGCGCTCTTGAGGCTGYCGCCCGCCGGTTGGGGCTGAACCGTCCATCTGGACGGTTCAGGGCACRGCCAGGCCTCGCAGYAKTGAGGCCGGCCTCTGCCCSMCSGKWWWAWRRAMCSGKYCSGSC